CCAGTTTCATCCTCGTGCTGCTGTGGTGCAGCCATCCTGTCTGTAGTGTGTGTGGGTCCAGCCCTGCTCGGGGAAAGCAGCCTGAGCAAAGCCCTTTCCTGAGCTGAGCTATTTCTAATCAGTGGAACATGAGCATTTTTAAGGCAGCTGAAGGGATGGCAAGAAATACAATTGAGAAGGCAAGCTGGCAAAGATGGAATGTTAACTTGTCTGGCTTTGGAGGAGCTGTCCATGAATCTGGGCTCCCTGATGTGAATTCTACCTATGCCAAAGCATGCTTTAAAACAATTTTTGCAAGTGTTTGCATATGTGAGAGTTGGAGAGATGGATCCTTTGTGCTTTACGTCTAGTTCCCGGTTGTTTGGGTTCCCTTATGCCTTGTTTCTTCGTTCCCAGAGGACACATGGTGATGGGAGACTCCTTCAACACTTCTCTCTTCAAGCAGACTTTCCAGCGGGCATTTAACAAAGGGTTCAACGGGGAATTTCGGATGGCTTTTGGTGCAAGTTTGGACGTGAAGGTGAGAGAGTAGTTTCATTGGATGACGTTAACTGGGACACACAAGTGCTGTTCATTCACAAGGTGATTTAAGTATCTGAGGTGTAGAAAGTCCTACATGTTTGAGGTCCATTGTAGTGCCTGTTTTGGAAGAAGCTCCATACTGGAATAGTGGAGGAGTTTTTATCTGGAAGCTTATGAAGTTTGTGTTTTGTTTTTTCGTTTGTTTGTTTTTAAAAAGCAGCTGAGCTCAGCCTCTCCTCACTCAGCAAGGAACGTTTCATATTCTCTCGTGGTCACTATAAATATGTCCTCATTATTAAAATGTGACTATGTAGATTCTCTTACATCCACTAATTGTAGTAGTAGATGATCTGGGAAAGGACTTAGAGATGCTTTCCCTGATAGGCATGTGTACATGTCATCTGATCACAGCTGAGCAACTGATTTAGTCTGGGTGTATTTTATTTGAATGACTTGATTAAAAAAAAAACAAAGAAACAAAGAGTGGCAAACAAACCAAACAACTTTTTTTACCTTGTTCTAGACCTCTAGGGAGCTGAAAATTGCAGGAGCTATTGGACCATGCATATCCCTGAATGCTAAGGGGCCGTGTGTCTCTGAAAATGTAAGTTTCTGACATGGAAAAATCTTTAATAAAGAAGTAAATAAACAGTGCAAAGTTTCTGTCTAGACCTACAACTCAGGTAGGTCTAGACAGGTAGGTAGTTCTTCTTTCAAGAAGAACAATTTGGAAACATCCCTAGGAAAAGACAGCCTTTCCTAGATGAAATTCTTCCCCTATAAGGCTTTCTTTTAGCTACGTGGCCTTCAGTAACTTCATTCACACCTAAAAGATGAGAAATCTAAAAGTCCATAACTTGTACCTCTGATCAGAATTCAGAAACCAAACATAAGCTTGCCTTACCTGCTGCTGTAGATAAAAGTGCTGCTTTCTTTTTGATTCTGTGCAGGAGCTGGGGATTGGAGGAACATCTCAATGGAAAATTTGTAGTCTGGATCCCAGCACAACTCTGGCCATTTACTTTGAAGTGGTAAATCAGGTCAGTCCTGGCTTCTTTTTTTTTTTTTTTGCTGTTGTCTTTTTTTACACAACAAATTATTTGTTTTTAACAGGGCCAGAAAATGCAGCGACATCCCCTATGTTGCAGATGGGTGGTTGCAAAGCGAGTGTTTTGTGCAAAAAAAATAGTATTTATTTAACATGACATTGCCTTTTTGCCAGTCGGTGCTGTGGAGAATAAAAATATAAATAAATCAAGTTGTAGCAACTTGGTGGCTCAGAAGTAACTTTAGACTGGGAAAGTTTTTGAACATGTGGCAGCTAGAAGTAGGAGGGCTACCCCAAAGCAGTTCTGTTCCATGTGTGTGTCTGTATTCTCTGCTGAGTGGGTGTGTTTACTGTTGGGAATAGGTTGGTGGACTCAGAGGACCTTTGCTCAGAGTTTGTACAATCATTCTTACATTAACTGCTGTAGAGCTGGTAAGTTATTGCCATCCTTTAAGGGTCAAGCTAAGGAAGTGTCACACCTAATACTAAATTGGTCCAGCACCACTTGACTCTGAGGGCTGCTGAAGAGCACAACACCAACAGATGTGTCTCTCTTCTGTGGTCCACCTCTAGCTTGTACTTATTCTATGACTGCTGACATGGTGCCCTGGGTTCTCTGTAGTGTACAGAGTGATGGAAAAGCTGGCCCATTTTGAAGGCTTACCTTGTTTTGCTTGCAGCACAACGCTCCAATCCCTCAGGGGGGCAGAGGAGCAGTGCAGTTTGTCACTGCATACCAGCACTCCAGCACCCAGAAGCGCATTCGTGTCACCACCATAGCCCGGAAGTGAGTATCTTGGGACAGCTCTTTGGCAGAGTGGCAGAAGCTGAAGCTGCAGCCTGTGCTGGAACTTTAATAGCTTCTTGTTGCACGCATTGGCCGCAGAGTGTTTGCCACAGGGAGGGCAAATCTGGTTTTGGTTTTTCTGAAGGTGAACGCATGTAGCACTAACCCTTTACTAACCCCCTAGCTGGGCAGATGCACAGAGTCAGCTCCAGCATATAGAAGCTGCATTTGACCAGGAAGCAGCTGCTGTGCTGATGGCACGACTAGCAGTGTACAGAGCTGAGTCTGAGGAGGGACCTGATGTTCTGCGCTGGCTGGACAGACAGCTGATCAGACTGGTAAGACCAATGGACTCTGCTTGGGTGCATTCTTGATTTTAGTAAAGATGATCTCTGGAAATCAAAAGAGCATTCTTTTTCCATATTGGCTCTTCCATCTGTGCTCTGATCATGGTCACACAGTTGTAGTACATGATAGCTCAGAAGAATGCAGTATGATCAGCAAATTTGTGGTGGAGTAGGTAAACCTCCCATCATGCTGAAAAGGTTAAACCTGAGATTAAAGAAGTGATAGTAAAAGACAAAATAATGCAGGTAGAGCAGGATTTCTGGAGGTCTCTGGTTCAAGCCCCTGCTCAAAGACGGGCCAGCTTTGAAATTAAAGCAGGTTTTCTCCAGGTTTTGTTTGGTTGAGTGACAGCCTGTTACAATGACTACAGTCACTGTGATATTTTTTTTATTTTTATTTTTTTTTAATTTAAAAAATGTTGTTTTTCTCTCCACCAACCCACTTTCCACCTCCACCCCCCTACCCCCCAGTCAGAATTTCAGTTTCTCCCCCAGCCAGGTAGCTATAGACAGTGGTATGACTCCCTGGCCCCCGTCTTCACTAAGCTGAACAAAATAGCTGTGTCAGCCTCTCTTCCTACATGAAGTGCTCCAGCCCCTGACCAGCTTGGTGGCCTCTGTTAAACTCACTCCAGTATATTCATGTCTGTCATGCACTGGGGAGCCCCAAACTGGACACAGCATTCAGGTGTGGGCTCACTGGTGCCAAGTTCAGGGTAGTAGTCACTTCTGCAACCTCGTACTGTTTCTTGCTTTGCATTTCACAAGGCTGAATTGCCTAAATTGGTTCTGGCTTTGTCCAAACACCCCCATGGAGTTATTACTAGCAGATAAGACATCAGACACAGGTATAGTACCAGATAAAGATTTGAGCACCAAAACACACACGGGCGTGCTGCATGCTGAAATGATCGTGGAGTCATTTATAGTTAAATTGCTGAAATTGTTGATGCTTCTTATTTTCAGTGAAGCAGTTTGTGAAACACCAATCTGCTGCTGCTCTAGGAGGAAGTAAAGTTGCTGCAAAAGTGTTTCATGGTATAAAATGCAGTTTAGGTATAATGTATTATCCCTGATTTAATGGAAAAAAAAAATGGATTGGACTAGAAACACTGTTTCTTTCATTCTTAGATAATTTCAAATCTTGATTTAATATATATAAGAACAGCTAAAGAGATCAAAGCATCATTCTCATTCCAGTAAGATACAGAAACCAGTGACTTAAAGAAAAGTAGTCTGTAAATTTTACATTACTTGTTATTATCACATTCATGCCTTGGTTGCTCTGTTGAAAAACAACCAGAAGAATACCCTTCCAAGAAAAAAAAGTGTTAATTGTGTAAACAGAAAAGAGAGAGAGATAACTGATGTATCCATTTTGTTTCCACAGTGTCAGAAGTTTGGACAATACAACAAAGATGATCCCAATTCCTTCAGACTGTCAGAATCATTTTCTTTGTACCCCCAGGTAAGAACTGCATTTCCCACAGCCGTAGGAAGAGTGTGCAGGGGTGGGTGGGATTGCTGGTAAAGCATCTCATACCATGTATCAGATTGAAGAGGGGAGGAACAGGTGCTTTTTTAATTTGGCAGGCTGGCCCTGTAGTTCAGTGCTTCTTTTGCTGACCGCATGGCACAGCAGGAAGGATAAAGCCATTAGCAGGAGGTGTATGGGCCAGATTTTACTACCCCATTCCAAAGAATAGAGAAAAGGTATGATGTGATACACAAAAGGAGGAGGAGGAATCTGTGCTGGTTCAGCTTGGAGAGGGTTGATATTCACCTGGAGTCTGTTGGGAGGTGCAGCCAGGGCAGACAGCAGGCCTAGCACATGCAGAACCAACCCGTGCCTGTATCAGTTGCCCCAGTGCAGAAGAAGAAATACACAAAGAAATCAATCTGGGTGGTGATGGATGGTGATGAACTGAGGCCATCACAAAAACAGGAGGAAGAGCCAGAGGGGGTCACCCAATTCCTGTCCCCGAGGGAGCTGCGAGACATACGAAAGGATTTCAGCTGTCTGCGTGGTGAGCAGCTCCTCACCTGGCTGCTCTGATGCTGGACGAGTGGGGCTGGCAGTCTGGAACTCGAGGAGAAGGAGGCCAAGCATCTGGGATCCCTGTCCAGAGAAGAGGGCATTGATAAGGCAGTTGGGAAACAGACTCAAGCCCTCAGCCTTTGGAGGTGACTCCTGTCAAGTGTAAAGGAAAGGTATCCCTTCAAGGAAGATGTTACATGTCACCCAGTTAAGTGGACCACAATGGAGAGAGGTATCCAGTACCTGAGAGACCTGGCTGTGCCAGAGATGATTTATGACGGCCAGAATGATGAGCAGTTGCCCAGATATGCAGATGAAGTCCAGTGCACACCACCCGTGTGGTAGAAGTTCCTGCGAGGTGCACCACCATCATCTGCCAACTCCTTGGTGGTTGGTGTCCTGGAGGAATGGCCAGGGGCAAACGGTGGATGAATTGGCTGGCCAGCTCCAGCAGTATGAAGGAAGCCTCTCCTCCTCCCTACAGGCCTGCATTTCATCTGTGAACGAACTGGCCTGGAAGGTCCAGAAAAGTGAACAACTTTCTTGCTTTCCACCTGTACGGGCCCATGTCTCAGCATTTGGAAGCAGATGCTCCCCTGACCACAAGAGAGAACGCGGAAAGTACACCCCATGTGGCACCTTGTGGTTCTACCTACGTGACCATGGAGAGGACATGAGGAGGTGGGATGGAAAACCCACTTCAACCCTAGCTGCAAGTTTACATGAATTGCAGGGAAAAACAATTGTGAAAAGGGAGTCATCCAAGAGAAATGTCTCTCCAGTGTCTAGTGGGAAACTCTGCAGACAGAAGAGGAAACGCTGCAGACAGAAGAGAAGAGCTGATCTTGTGTCTGACCTTCTCTAGGGGACCTCAAAGTCATTTTTACAAGAAATGAGCAACTCTGACCAGGATCAGAGGGGCCCTGCCCCCAGTTGGGTGCAGGAGGGACAATGGGACTTACTGGGCTGTGTGGATCTGGTGGCCCGGCACATCAGACCCACAGGAGTACAAAGCTCTGGTGGATACTGGTGCACAGTGTGCCCTGATGCCATCCTGCTGTAGTGGGGACAAACCCATCTGTATTGCTGGGGTGACAGGGGCATCCCAGCAGCTCACTGTGCTGGGAGCTGAAGTGAGCCTGACTGGGAAGGAGCGGCATCAACACCCCATCCTGACTGGCCCAGAGGCCCTGTGCATCCTTGGCAGAGACTACCTCAGGAGAGGGGATTTCAGGGACCCAAAAGGGTACCGATGGACCTTCGGTATTGCTGCCTTGGAGGAGCTTGAGCAGCTGCTCACCTTGCCCAGGCTCTTAGAGGGCCCTTCTGTGGTGGGGTTGATGTGGGTGGAAGAGCAGCAGCTGCCCGGTGCTAACACCGAAGTGCACCGGGGTCAG